CGTGATGATCTTTCATCTGTTCGTCCAGGTGGTACAAAGGCTCCTGGCAGTACGAAGGAAATTCAAGGTGTTAGTGGTTTGCCTGGTGCAGATATTAAGAATGGGAATCGTCCTGTTGTGACCAATAGTGTTACTAAAGGTGAAATCGGTGTTTTGAACAGGAACGAGATGGATGGAGAGCAGAAGGTGATGGAACAAAAAGCTAGGTAACACATTAGAAGTTCAAACTCCTTTGAACGCGAGTAAAACGGAAACTGTCCTATCTCCTGTTTCTGCTGTACAAGATCACAGTGACGATAAAACGGATGTGGTGACAAAGCAAACAGAGAATACTCAGAATCAGACGCTACTCAGTGAGTCAGTTCTGATTGGTTCTGAGGGTCAACAAGAACAGATAAAGGAAACCACAGAAGTTCCTCAACAACAAGATAATCACAATACAGAACCGAATGTCACAGGTACAACAAGTACAGACTCCCATGTTATTACTGACTCAAACCCACATCCTACTACAGACGCATCACCTAGTAAAATAACTCAATCTGGTCTAGCTACTGATGATTCAAACACAATAAATAACACGAGCACAGAGCCCAACAGTACCACTGATAATGTGACAACGGCAGAGAATGAATCAACAAATGATGTCAATACTGTGGGTGCATCAGCAGAAGGGAATACCACAGCGAACACGACCTCTGTCACTCTCAATACCACCAGTAACGAAGAATCAATCTCAACTACCACAACCACCACCAACACCACCAATATAATTCCTCCTCTCCCTGCAATCAGCAATAACACCATAATGCCAAATGTGAAGGGTGATGCTGACAGCAGTAGTATCAGCAGTTCTGTGTGGGTGCGTGTACCACTACTGATTGTGGTTACACTGGCCTGTATTCTTGTATGCTGATTGTAATGGTGATGGTGTGACTCAGGTCATCCTTTGTTTTCTTTTCTTCTTTTTTGCATACAACCACACTACAGTCTAACTAATCTTCCACCTGTTGGGATTTCTCTTGTTTTTTTTGTTTCTTAATGTTAATGTGTTGTTTTGTGTGTGTTTTTGCTGTCTGTGTGTTTATCCTATAATTATTATTATTGCTACTCCATTGTGTGTGTGTGTGTGTTCTTGGAGACTCTCACTCTGTGTGTGCACCTGGGCTTGCACTGTAATGATGATGAACTGCTTTTTTGCAGTGGGAAAAGGAAAAATAATAACAGATGAATTTATATTTATAATTGCATATACACACATATAGACTTACACCCATAGTTGGTGTGTATTTCTGTGTTTTTTGGGTAAGTTGGGCTAATGGTTAATACCTTTGTTTTTTGCTTGCGTGGTTTTTTGGGGGCGTTGTGTTTTTTGCCCTGCACCGTTTTGGTATTCTGTTTTGTTCAGAATAGAAAAATAATAATAACTGTTACACAGAAGGTAATGTTTTGCTATCTTGACCAACGAATGAAGAGCTATATTTTGGTGTATTTTCTTCTCTTGTTTGGTCGTACGTATAATTTATTAAATCATTTTTTCTCTTCCGTTTTTATTGAGATGTTCTGTTTAGCATTGGGTATTGTGTGTTTTGTTTCTTTAATTGAACACTGTCTGAGTGGTTGTTATGGCTTTATGTTTGTTTTCTATGTGTGCGTAAATGTATTTCTTGATGTGGAGCAATGATTTCCTTTTGTTGGTGTTTGTTCTCTCTCCTTTGTAATTGCTCATGATAGTGATCCCAGATAATAATAACAACAACTCTTATGATACCAATGCGCCACCTGCTCTGTGTGTTGGTACTCTCATTCTGTTGTGTCTGTGGATGTGTGCTGGCTACTGCAGGAGGTGAGGCTGATAGAGTTGGTGATGCTTTAAAGACCCGGGATGATGTTCCTCATTCAGAAGATGCAGAATCAGAAATTCATCAACAATGTGATGCCGAAGGGGAAGCGACGGAGAAACGTTGCACACAAAAGCCCACAGAAGAGTTGCCTCTAGAACGTAAAATAGTGAATCAGCAAGGCCCTGATCTCAAGAGAGATTCACCAGACACTACTTTAGAGATAAAAGGTAACGGTACTACACATACGCTCAACAGTTCTCCACAGAGCCAATCCCAACCACAACCTGATTCTCCTAAACCTGCAGAAGGTGTCCCTTGTTCCACTAATTCTGCTGGTAATACTGATCCTAATTGTCGTGCTCAAACGACAGCAGAATTGTCTTCTCCATCACCTTCTGAAAGAAGTCCTGAAGGTGAACAGGATCCTCCAGGTGCTGGTGCGAAAGATATTACCGATAAAGAAGGTGCTGCTGGTGCTTCTTCTGCTCCTGCTGCTAAACCTGATCCATCCGCTCCTGAAAGTGATGGTGAAGTGTCTGTAAGTAAAGGTCAACCTGAAAGCAACAGCAACAGTGCAGATGGAAATGGCACCACAGAAAACTCTTCTTCCAACAATTCGGACACAGGGAGTACCAGTAATTCTGATGCTGCAAAGAATGATAATGGAACTTCACCTGCAGGGAGTGAATCAACAAGTAACCCAAGTGCTGCGGGAAGTGGAGACACAACCACCACCACCACTACAACAACAACACTTCCTCCTGAACTCACAAACAACAAGAAGGGTGATGCAGACAGCAGCAGCAGTATCAGCAGTTCTGTGTGGGTGCGTGTACCACTACTGATTGTGGTTACACTGGCCTGTATTCTTGTGTGCTGATTGTGTGATGGTGTGATGTGACTCAGGTCATCCTTTGTTTTCTTTTTCTTTTGCATACATCCACACTACAGTCTAACTAATCTTCCACCTGTTGGGATTTCTCTTCTTTTTTTGTTTCTTAATGTTATTGTGTTTTTGCTCTCTCTGTGTTTATCCTATAATTACTATTATTGCTACTACTCCATTGTGTGTGTGTGTTCTTGGAGACTCTCTCTGTGTGTGCACCTGGGCTTGCACTGTAATGATGATGATGAACTGCTTTTTTGCAGTGGGAAAAAAGAAGTAATAACAGATGAATTTATATTTATAATTGCGTATATACACATATATAGACTTACACCCATAATTGGTGTATTTTTGTGTTTACTGGGTAAATTGGGCTAATGGTTAATATCTGTTTGTTTGCTTGATGATTTGCTTTTTCTTTGTGTGCTTTGTCCTGCATTGTTATGATAATCTACGTTGAATAGAGAAAAGAAAAAAAAATAGTAATTGTTACACATAATTTCATTATTGCTTATAACCACCAGCATACCCAGCTGTCTGTTTTATTGTATGTTTATTGGGCATTTCTTTGTGTTTTTAATTTCTTTTTTCATTACTTCTTGCTTTTGTTCGGTTTTTTTTAGTGGTACATCTTTATTGGATTCTTTATTGTTTATACTGATGTTTTAGGGTTGTGTGACTGTTGATTTTGCTGTGTTCCGTTTTACCACCATCTGTTTTTCTTTCTATTTTGTGGGATATTTTTTTATTTTTATTTCTCTTTTTCTCTGTTACTTTTTTCCGTGTCATAATGAAGTAAAACAACCAAGAATTATTCTTGCCATGATGATGCGAACCGTTGTGTGTTTTCTGGTTTTTCTGCTGAGTGTTGCCTCTGTCTGCATGGAAGCTAACGCGTTTACGAATGAACCTTTTGTGGTAGCTGGAGATGGCAACGGAGGTGATGTCTTTACAGCCCTCTTTAATGAAAACCTTCATCCATATACCCCAGACTGTGCTGGAAGTTCAAACTTGTGTGGCAGACCTGTTACGCCTGAGAAACAAATTCCGGCTGAAGATCCTAACTCAGTTCCGACGGATCAAGAAAGGCTTCGTGCAGGAGAGAGACTCTCTACCACTGAAGAAACTTCTTCACGACGAGAACAAGATGCTGGGAAGGAGATGGATAAAGAAAAAATAACACGTGCCGATTCTCCATCCGCCGAAGATGGTAGAGGTGATGACATTGTGGGTGATATTCCTGCCCCTCAACCGGGCCACAATAAACCTGGTACTGGAGGTGAACCCAATCTTGGAGAACAAATCCAACCTCCAGAGTCTACTCCACCTACACAAGGTAACCCAGGATCATCAAATAACAGAGGGGATAACAGTACAACGGGCGATTCTAATCCCACCGAGCAAGCATCTCCTGCAGAGGCAAGTACAACTAACGCAACAGCTTCACAAGAGAATGGCAGTGTTGATTCAACAGCCACCAACACTAATACTACCACTGAAGCACCGACAACAACAACACTTTCTCCTGTACCCAACGCAGAGATCAACACTATTACTTCCACAGTTCAGAAGAAGACTAATGTTGACAGCAGTGTCAGTTCTGTGTGGATGGGCACTGCAGCACCGTTGATGATTGTGGTTGTGTTGTTCTCCGCTACTGTGTGCTGAACAGTGGGACTCATCTGAGGAGAAATAATAATAATAGTTATTCTAATATAATTGCGTACATCCCTCATGGGTGAATAAACTAATAATCTGTTTACCAGCTTTCTCTTTTAATTGGAATTTCTTTTTTTTTACTCATTAATTCCATTGCTTGCTTTTACTGTTGTGTGTGTGTGTGTTCTTTTTTCTAATAATTCCATTACTTGCTTTTCCCGTTGTGTGTGTTTGCAGAAAACTGGGCTGTTCTGCTCACTGACGGTATACATCTCTTGCTAGTACACACAGATGTGTGTGTGCAGTAATTTAATATACATAAACTAGAGCCATGGGATATTGTGTGTGTTTGGCTCTCTCTCTCTTATTTGGGTATGGTGAGGTGTTCTCTTTTTCTATTAATGGGTACATATTATAACTACAAGCGGACTATTCCTTTTTTGGTTGCTTTACTGTGCAATTACTGCTTTTCTCTCTCTTACTGTGAGTTATTGTTGTACTCTTGTATGTTTGTTTGTTTCTATTTTACTTTTTTTTCATCTCCAGACTCCATCCATTAGACCTGTGAACTCAAGTGACGAGAACAAAAAAAGAATTTTTTTTTATGATGTTGCGCCATACGTTCTATATACTTGCTTTGATTCTGAGTGTTACCTCTTTATATGTGGTAGCTGCAGAGGGTGATCGTGATGAACTTGAAGCTGAGAATACTCGTCTTTACGATACGATTGAGCCCCGTTCATCTGGTGTTGGGCCTCAGGGTCCTACGGGTGCTCGAGGTCTTGATGGTAGAGAAGGTCCTCCTGTTAATTGTCCTCGTACTGACGGTGCTACTGACGGTACTTGTGTTAGTACTGCTGGTGGTTTATCTGATGGTGGTGATGATAGAGGTACTGATGATATGATGGGAATATCTATTCCTCCTGGTAGTGTTGTTGTGCCTGGTCCTGGTGGTCAAGAAGCACAAGTGCAAGGAGAACAAAGTAAAGAGGCACGTGCAAATAAAGGGAAAGGTGAACTAGCTGTGAGGATTGAGGGATCTGAAGAAAACGACAGACAAGAACCAGTCAGTAAAGATTTATCTCATTCTACAAGCCACAGGAATCCCGACGCACTTGAAAGCGAACAGACTCTTCTCGTGGAAAATGGTAGTCAAGGTGAAGCCGGTCCAGCCGGCAATAATGGACAATCTCAAGAAGGTCATCTCACACCATCTACATCCTCTTCTACGTCACCCAATACACATTCCGCAGATACATCATCTGACAGCAGCAGAACTGAACCTTCTCCCAGTACTTCAGCCACACCAGCTAATGGAGGATCAGAAACCACAAGTGCAAGGAATGACACTCCAGCGGCAGGAAGTGAGACTACAAGTAACACCGAGGATGGAGAAAATGCAGAACCAACAACGAATACCTCAGCGAACACGAACCCTGACACCTCCAATGCACCAAATAATGAAGAATCAACCACTACCACTACTACTACCACCACAACACTTCCTCCTGAACTCACAAACAACAAGAAGGGTGATGCTGACAGCAGCAGCAGTATCAGCAGCAGTTCTGTGTGGATGCGTGTACCACCGCTGCTGATTGTGGTTACACTGGCCTGTATTCTTGTGTGCTGATTGTGGTGGTGATTGTGTGGTGTGACTCAGGTCATCCTTTGTTTTCTTTTCTTTTTTTTGCATGCATCCCTACAGTCTAAGTAATTGTTCACTTGTTGAGATTATCTTTTTCTTTTTGTTTCTTAATGTTATTGTGTTTTGTGTGTGTTTTTGCTCTCTGTGTTTATCCTATGATTTGTATTGCTACTCCATTGTGTGTGTGTGTGTGTGTTCTTGGAGACTCTCTCTGTGTATGTGTGTACCTGGGCTTGCACTTTGATAATGATAATGATGAACTGTTTTTTGGAGTGAGAAAAAAAAGAAATAATAATAATAATAATAACAGATGAATTTATATTCATATTTCCGTATATACATATATAGAGACTTACACCCATAGTTGTTGTATTTCTGTGTTTACTGTGGAAGTTGAGCTAATTGATAATATATGTTTTTTTACTTTTGGATTGCTGGCATGTTTTCGTCTTTGTACTACAAGTATTGATAATCGTATTTGTGCTGAGATGAAACATTATAACAGATATACGTTCGTATTCGTAATTGCTTATTGAAGCTATAATAACTTGCTCTTAGCAGTTGTGATTGTTTGATAGGTAGCTGTTCAGGAGCTTAACTGCTTTTCCTTTGTTTTCTTTGTTGCTGTTTATTTTGCTCTTTATTATATTGTTAGTTCTTTTTTGATTGACTCGTGCTTTTTTTATATGCTCCTTAGCTGTTATTCTTTGTCATTTGTAGTCTGACGTTTTCTCTTTGCTCACATTTCCGTTTTTCTTCTTTAACCATTTTATGTGAAAAATGAAGAATAACTCCTATTTTTGATGATGATGCGATCCGTGTTGTGTTTTCTGGCATTTCTTTTAAGCGTTTCCTGTGTCTATGTGTCGGCGGAAGAAGCTCGTGGTTCTCACACGCCTCCCACTAAGGCTGAAAAACCTGAAGGTGCATGTAAAGACTCCGAAAAAAAAGATGGATCTTGCGCATCTAGAGTATCGGCTGCTCCTTCAACTGGTATGTCTCCTGCTACACCTCCCAAAGCTCCTCAGCAGCTTGGACTGGGTGCTTCATCTGGTCCTGTAGGTGCGGCTCCCACTGGTCTAGGTACAGCCATTACCACGACGAGAGGTGACACTGCAGCACTTCCAGACGGACAGACTTCAAATCGTGATCTGAAGAACGCAGAGGGCAGGGAAGCAGGTCCTCGTGAAAACAACCCACAGCCAGGACTATCATCATCGTTATCTCCTGATCAGCAGCCACATGATGGTTCAACTATGAGTGGCTCTGAGGGTCAAATGAGAACGAATGGTGGAACTACAGAAGACACTCCACGACGGAACAGCAACACAGAAACGAATACCATAAGCACAGGATCTCAGAGAACTGATGACTCCACGCAAAATCCTACTGCAGATGCACCACCAGCAGAAATAACCCCATCTGATTCACACTCTGGTGACTCGAACACAGCAAATAACCAAAGCACAGAGTCTAACAGTACCACTGATACCGTGACAACATCAGAAGGGAGTGAAGGAACAAATGACGAGACTGCGAATGCTGTGAATGAATCAACCACCACCACTACCACCACCACAACAACCACAACACTTCCTCCTGAACTCACAAACAACAAGAAGGGTGATGCAGACAGCAGCAGCAGTATCAGCAGTTCTGTGTGGGTGCGTGTACCACTACTGATTGTGGTTACACTGGCCTGTATTCTTGTGTGCTGATTGTAATGGTGGTGGTGTGACTCAGGTCATCCTTTGTTTTCTCTTTTTCTTTTTTGCAAGTATCCCTACAGTCTAACTAATCTTTTACCTGTTGGGTTTCTCTCTTCTTTTTTCTTGTTTCTATTAATGTTAATGTGTTTTGTGTGTTTTTGCTCTCTCTGTGTTTATCCTATAATTATTATTATTGCTACTCCATTGTGTGTGTGTGTGTGTTCTTGGAGACTCTCTCTGTGTGTGTGTGCCTGTGGGCTTGCACTATGATAATGATGATGATAAACTGCTTTTTTGCAGTGAAATGAAGAGAAATAATAATAACAGATGAATTTATATTTATAATTGCGTATATACATACACATATAGATTTACACCCATAGTTGGTGTATATTTCTGTCTTTATTGGGTAAATTGGGCTAATTGTTGAAATATCTGTTTCTTTGGTTGCTTTTGTTTACCTTGTACTGATTTGCTTTCTGAAGGAAAAAGAGTAACTGATACATATTTATTCATAATTGCTTATGCACAAATGCACATCACGGGCTCTGTGTTATTTTTATGCAGTTGGTAGTTTTTTTGTCTTTGCTCGTAATTTGTTGATAGTTTTTTTTGCGTGGGCTTTTCTTTGTGAGGTATCTGTTTATTCTTCTTTTTTTTTGAATTTGTTGGTGTTCTTCTTGTGAGTGATTGTTGCTTGATTGTTGCATCCTTTCCCGTGTGTCTGTTTCTAATTTATTTTACTGTTGTTATATTTTATTGTTTTGTTCTTAAACAGTTCATATACTTACGAAACCAAGAGGGGATTAAAGTTTTTCGTGATGGTGCTGCGACGTTTGTTGTGTTTTTTTGCTCTCCTGCTGAGTGTTCCCTCTCTCTGCACGTCCGCTAGCGGGGCTGCTGCAGCTGCTGAAGCTCTTCCTCCTGAATCTCGTTGCACTTCTGCTCCTTCTGGTGATTCTCGGCCTGATTCTGACTGTCCTTCTTCTTCTGGTGTTCATCCTCCAGGATCTAGTGGTTCTTGCCCCACTGGTACCCAACATTGTCCTGCTCCTGATGCTGCCGCTGCTGCTGCTGCTGCCTCTAAAACTGCTACTGGTTCATGTCCTGATACTGGATCTACTGGTGCTGATACTGGTGATACGTGTACTTCTCCTGCTCAAGATGCATCTGGTGGTAGTAATGGTGGTAGGGATCGATCTACAGCAAGAGAACATGATTTAACAGGAAAAGCAGGTCAAGCTTCTTCTGGTGAAGGTGCTGCTGCTGGTGAAAGAGGTGAACAGGGTCCTGCTGGTGCTGGTGCTACTACTTGTCCTGATGGTGATGCAGATAATCCTAATTGTTCCAAAGATACAACATTACCAAAGGGTCCGGTTAAAGCGGAAGGCCATGCTGAGGCTTTACAAGGTCAAGATGCTGCTCGTGGTGTTGGTGCACCAAGTATAGGGTCTGCTGGTGAAGCAGGTCGCGCTGGTGCTCCAACTCAAGAGGAAATTCCGGACCCTCGAGGAGAACAAGAGGCTGCTGCACCTACTGATCCTGCTACGAGACCGGAGACACCTGCAAGTGCACCTGACACTGGAATCAGAAGCAACAATGAAGGAAGTGAAAGTGAAACATCACAACCTCCATCTTCTCCTAACGGTACAGCCCCAGCGGGTGATGCTGGTTCTAATCCTGCATCGAATGAAGATGGTACATCTGAAGGGACGGAAGCAACAAGCAACATCGAAAGTGCAGAAAATACAGATACAACCACCACAACCACTACCACCACAACACTTCCTCCTGAACTCACAAATAACAAGAAGGGTGATGCAGACAACAGCAGCAGTATCAGTTCTGTGTGGGTGCGTGTACCACTACTGATTGTGGTTACACTGGCCTGTATTCTTGTGTGCTGATTATAGTGATGGTGGTGTGACTCAGGTCATCCTTTGTTTTCTTTTTCATTTTTTGCATGCATCCCTACAGTCTAACTAATCTTCCACCTGTTGGGATTTCTCTTCTTTTTCTGTTTCTTAATGTTAATGTGTTTTTGCTCTCTGTGTTTATCCTATAATAATTATTATTGCTACTCCATTGTGTGTGTGTGTTCTTGGAGACTCTCTCTGTGTGTGTGCACCTGGGCTTGCACTGTAAAGATAAGGATGAACTGCTTTTGCAGTAAGAGGGAAAAGAGAAGAAATAATAACAGATGAATTTATATTTATAATTGCGTATATACACATATATAGACTTACACCCATAGTTGGTGAATATTTCTGTGTTTACTGTGTACGTTGGGCTAATGATTAATATCTTTTTCTTTGCTTGATGATTTTGCTGGTGCGTTTTGTGTGGTTTGACCTACACCGTTTCGGTGATACGTTTTGTTCTAATGGGAAACAAATAATTGTTATACATTTATATTTATAATTGCATGTGAACTCGGACACAACCATAGCTAATTATTTTTTACATTCGATGGTTGCTCTGATCGTGCTATTAATTTGTTGTGTTTTTTCTTTTGTTTGGTACTTGTTTGTGTTGTGCACCTTTGTTGGGCTCTTTATTATTTGTGCGCTTTGCCTTGTCTTGTGATTTTGCTAAGTTTTGTTTTTATCTTTTTCTCCGTTTTTCCTTTTTTGTTTTTGTGTTTATCAATTTTATTCTGTATTGGGTTCTCTTAATCTTTTTGTTCTAGAGTTTTGGCGACAGTGAACGATTCAAGTAACTTTTTTCGCATGATGCTTCTGCGACGACTGTTGTATTTTATTGTACTGTTTTTGAGTGTTGCCTGTGTGTGTGTGGCGGCTGGAGAGGAAAAAGGTCCTTCTTCTGGCGGTAGCAAT